TTACAGATCTTCTTTATGCACCAAGAGCTTGTAACACTCCAAAGAGAAAGGAAAAATTTAAATCGCATCATATGACCACTTTAAATTGATCAAATTGAATCTTTTTTCGTTTTCTATTTTTCAAAGAATCCATATATATATATATATATATATATATATATAAGTATATACTGTATATATATATATATATATATCACAGTTTCAACTATTTTCAACATTGATACTAATAAAAATGATTTTCTGAAGTGACACTGAAGACTGCAGTACTGGTTGCTGAAAATTCAGTTTTGCCATTACAGGAATAAATTGTATTTTATAATATATTCAAATAGACAGTTATTTTAAATTACAATATTTCACAATATTGCTGTTTTTAGTGCAGTTCTGATGAAAAAACGCAGCCTTGGTGAACCTACTTTCTAAAACAGTAACAAAATCTTGCTTACCCCAAAATGTCACATCAACAATGCATTAAGTTGCAATGAAATCATCATGTTTCTTCTGTACTGCAGCTGATCCTCGTGTGAGTGAGATCCAAACTGGTAAGAGCTCCAATCACCTCAAGCATACAATATTAAAAATAGAAGGACACAATATGCCTATACAAACTCTACATGTGTGTTTAATTTATATTGGGTCTCATAGGTAAAAATGCCATCTGGTCATCATTTCCATTCAAGGCTGACTCGTACTCCGAGTGCAATGGGCAGCAGTTCATAAAGCGGACCTGGTACCGCAAGTTTGTGGGTATCCAGTTGTGCAACTCTCTTAGATACATGATCTACCTGAGCGACTCTCTTAATGGTCCGTATCAACCAATTACAGACTCACCAGATATTTTTGCTATTTAAGTCAATTAATTACTTTTTAGTTCCTTCTTTCTCCAGGGAAGTTCTACAGCATAGGAGATCAAACAGGGTATGGGGAGGATCACTGCCAATTTGTTGACTCGTTCCTGGATGGACGCACCGGTGGTCCTCTTTCACCAGATCAGTTACCACCCAGAAAAGGTTTCTAATAAAAACTTTTTTTATTTATTTAACAAAGATTAACACAGTAATCTAACACTGGTACACAAGATATGACGATCTCTCCTGTCTTATCAAGGCTTTTACCGGGCCATGCGTCAGGAGCCTGTCAAGTTTGGGGAGATCGGAGGAAATTCTATGATCAACTACATGGCCTGGTACGAGTGTGGGATACCCATTCCAGGGAAGTGGTAGGACCCCGAGGAGCAGATGGGAGACGTGGCAAATAAGAAACATCAGTTGCCAAGGGAAAACAGACTTTTTATGGGATGTTTGTGTACAGAGAAGTATTTCATTGGCGTATGTATCTGCATTTTCAGGTATCAGGCACATATAGAATTATTATAAGCTGAAGTAATGCAGCAATCGTACAGCGAGCTAAATGAATATTACTGTTGAGATTAAGAAGTTTAACTTTTGGGGTTTTAGGGAAGCAGGCTCCCTTAAAGGCTAGATGAATGTGTATATTTTTTATCAAAATGTTGTATATGCCACTGAAACAAAAATGACCACGACTGGCCAACTTAAATTAATGTTCCAGGGTTAAAACAGGTCTTGTAGACAGCATCTGACATTGTCATCACAGAAAATATTTTTTTATTTTGAACCAAAAAATTGTTCACATTAATGTGAATTGTTTTGAACAAAAATTGTTCACAGTAATGTGAGGCTTATATTTATATTATATAAATATAATTATATTTAGATATATAATTATATACATTTATAATTATAAAAATATATTTTATTTTAATGTTTTATTCTATAATTTTTTTTTGTCAGCTTTAAGATTGATGATGAACTTATGCATTGCCAACGTAATTCATAAAGGTGGATTTTTCTTTCAACAGTCCTTTTTTGGACCTTTCAAGTATTGTGCAAAAATGACCAGGTTTACTGGTTTTATATGGACATGGCAGGAGTTGAAAAATAGGACAATGTACAGTACATCTGTCCAGTTATCACACAAGTCTCATTTGAATGTCCTAATTAAATCGTTTGGGTTTATGAAATACTGTGTATTTTAACGTTTATCCGGGTGCAATGCTTTGCCCCATAGACTTTCATTGTAAGTGCTTTATTTTGACCGTTTTTCAGTTGACTTTTTTTCTGTTATCGTCAGTATGTCACAGATGCTGATAACAACGCAAGTCGACTAAACCTGAAACATTCCTTTAACAGCTCAAGCGCAATGTTAAACAAGGAATTTAAAGACTAGGTCATATAAACAATTGTTCAAGATATGTAGCTTTTTGATAAGTAATTGTTGTAATTATACTATGAACGTCAGAAATGCAACATCTCGTTAACAAGTCTGTTGTTTTGTAAAGAAGTTTAGTGACTCATGATTTCCAGAGAAAGACAGTTTAAATGCCAGAATTTATGTTTTTACATTGAAACTTTGATATATTTTATAAGGTTTATAATGAATCTGCTTTACCAATAAAAGCACAAGCCGTTTATTTTATTTATTTTTTTGTAGCTAGTTTAAAAAAAAAAGGAAAAAAATTTGTTTTCATGTTTTTTATGCAATTGTCTCTCAGAAATACAGAAAAATTAAAGACAGACCTAAATTGAGGATAAATATGTTCATTCCATGAACAATTGAGCAACACTTCCATTACTTCTGTCTCAAAGTCTTTATTCACCTGAAAACAATGTTACAGTTTATACAGAAATGACAGGCTTCACTGCAGAGGGCCAGTCGTTTATACAGAAATGACAGGCTTCACTGCAGAGGGCCAGTCAGGGGTTAGTAAAAACCAGGACATTTGGAAAAATTAAAGAAAACTAAACAAACATCACTTTGATTATGATAATTTTCTAGTGTTTACACAAAACTCAAGGTTTATGACAAAATAACACCAATGATAGGAGACCAGTGATAAAATAAAATGCACACACACAACACCCACACACACAGCTGTCCACACCATTTGGTCTCCTATGTGTGCAAATACACATACAATCTCACAAGTTCATTCTCACAAGCATTCATACAATCATCCAAAGCACAAACAAACACAATATTAGAATGTCAAACACAGATTTTGGGGGCTGATGCATTGGAGACAGAGAAAACGTATAGCTTGTGGGGACATTATCGGCCTTTTACCGATACCCAGGGCCTGGCTGAGCGTAGCCCTGGCCAAAAGGGGGGCGGTTTCGGGCATAGGGGTTGGCACCCCCAGAGGAAGGGGTGACGCCAGGTGGCAGGGTGTATCCAGGACGGGGCTGATACCCCCCTGTGGCCTGGGAGGTTGGAGGCAGGCTGTAGTTAGCTGGCTGTTGAGAGGCCTGGGATGTGTAGTTTTGAGGTGGAAATGCTCCAGGCGGGTACTGGGTGGGTCCTTGAGGAGCAGGAGGCTGTGATTGGCCAGAAAACCCAGGGGCGGAGCCAGGAGCACTGGCAGCCTGAGAGGTAGGGGCGGGATAATTCTGGAACTGCTGCTGAGGAGGCGGAGCCTGAGGAACACCAGAATGAGTATAACCAGCTGAAAAAGAGGGTTAAAAAATTATTAATTTAAAAATAAACAATGTTAAAGCTTGCTAATATACATGCCTTTGGGCAAGGAAAGGTTTTGATGCCTTTACAAATCAAATTTATTTGTCAAATGTGCAAAAACCACACTTCCCAAAATATATATTTTTTTTATTGTTGGGGAGAAAAAAAAACCCATATATACATACATATATATATATATGGCTGAGATTCGGCCATAGGTAAATACTAGAGCCCGACCGATATGGTTTTTTGGGGGGGGGGACCGATACCGATATTAGGGAGTAAAAAATATATCGGTATATCGGCCGATATTCTGTGTATATTATAGTACAGTACCAGTCAAAAGTTTGAACACTTTCCCATTCGTGTGTCCAAACATTTGACTGGTACTATATATAGAATACAGTATATACATAAACAGAATATACAGTGGGTACGGAAAGTATTCAGACCCCCTTAAATTTTTCACTCTGTTACATTGCAGCCATTTGCTAAAATCATTTAAGTTAATTTTTTTTCCTCATTAATGTACACACAGCACCCCATATTGACAGAAAAACACAGAATTGTTGACATTTTTGCAGATTTATTAAAAAAGAAAAACTGAAATATCACATGGTCCTAAGTATTCAGACCCTTTGCTCAGTATTTAGTAGAAGCACCCTTTTGATCGAATACAGC